GGCTCGGGAGCTGTGGTAGCCCCGGCGGGAGAGACCCCAAGGCCGGGTCTGGAGGGCAGAGGTGCCGCGGTGGCCTCCCGGAAGGGCGCGCAGCGGGACTGTGTGGGGCTCAGTGGCCGCTGGTACCTGTAGTCCTCGGTCCATCTGCAGCCCTTTGGGCAGAGCAGCTCCAGCGAATCTCTTCCGCTGCAGCCCGAGCGCTCTATTTCCTGCTCATAGACAGGGTGCTGCTCGGGAGGCTCCTGACCCCCTTGTCCTGCCTCAGTCTAAGTAGGCGGGCCAGGGTGACTCAGCTGCCTGATGCTCAGACTGCCTTCGCCTCGCTCTAGCCTAGGCAAGGACAGTCGGCAACCAGTGAGGGAAGCAGGCCCATGCGTGAGGGACCTCAGAGATGGCAAAGTGAAAGAGAAACGCACTGAGGCCCAGGCTGGTGGGGAAGAGGAGGAGGCGGAGCCTCAGGAGAGCAGAGGGCGGACTCCAGCTGTGCTGGCTGTTGGGATTTCCTGCCCTTCCTTCCCAGCAGGACTCAAAGTGTGGTGCTGGGAGGGCTGGAGGGCTGGGCGCAAAGTTTCCTCTTGTTGTGAGCAGGAGTGTGCACCAACTGGAGGTCAAGACAGTAGTTGATGCCAACTAGATTTATATATATGTATCAATCATTAATCATGTTCATTCATACCCGCGAGTTGCCACTCCCTGTACCCGTACAAGTCCGAGGAGCGCGACTTGGTTTCTCCCTTCCTGGTGATCGCGGTTGTGGATCGCATGACCCCTTCTTGATTCTGGGGTCCACTCCGGGTGTGAGACCCTAAAAATCTGGTCCCAAACCCCACACCACTTAACTGACCCCCGGATGAACTCAAGCGGCAGGAATTTGCTTAGTTTGCTTGGTTGCGATAACAGCAGAGACAGACGGGTGGGAGAAAAACCACTTCAACCTCAAAGAAGAACAGGAGGTTCTGTATAGATAAGAGAAGCTCACCACATTCCTGAGTGCATTGACCGCCTCCTGAACTGGCCCCCTCAGCCTGAGATAGTTTTCTTCCCGCTTTCACAATTACCCCGGCACTATCCAATAGATTTAGAGTATTAGAAAAGAAGTCAATAAGATAGAATTTCAAACCACCCTAACCCTATAAAAATAGGCTAAATAAGTGGGTCGGGACTTCCAGTTTGAAACCGCTGTCCACCACACTGGGGAGGCCAGGCTCAAGCTTGAAATAAAATAAACTCCTCGTGTATTTACATCAGAAGAGCTTCTTGGGCGAGGGATTTAGCTCAGCAGTTCCTTGGCCTGCCTTGCAAGCGCAAGGGCCCGAGTTCAATTCCAGGTACAAAAAAAAAAAGAAGAGCTTCTTGGTGGTCTTCTTGGGGATTTCGTGACTTGGGCACAACACAGGCAGGCCACCGATGTCCCATCCCGTAGAGTGTTGAGCTGTCTTGGGCATCCGAGTGGGATGAGCTGGTCTTCTGCGCTCTCTTTTATACCATTCTAAATGGGGTCTGTGGCACTGATTTGGGTTTATCATTTCACACATTTTGGTGTTACACACGTCATAGGGCATTGTAGGGTGTCACAGGGTGTTACAGGGCATAGGATCTGTTTGATTAGATATCACACTTCACTCTTGGGGGATTACATTTCAGGTTTCACACATTAAGTCACTCTTAGGGGGTTTCACTCTCCACTCTTGGGAACACTCTGACATTGTACTCTATTTGGGAGGCATTAAATTCTCTGCATCCTATACATTGACATGTGCGCTCTGCAGTCTTGTCTAGTGGAGCGTAGAGCAGGACTGGACATCGAGTGGGACGAGCTGGTCTTCTGCGTGCTCTCTTATACTATTCTAACTTGGGGTGTGTGGCGCTGGTTTGGGTTTATCACTTCAAACATATTGGGGCTGTTTGATTAGATATTGGGGTTGCACATGTCCTAGGGTATCACATATGTCACACATCGAATCTGTTTGATTAGATATCACACTTCACTCTTGGGGGTTACATAACAGGTTTCTCACACTGACATTGTCTTAGGCTATGCTCTCCACAGCTCTCCTGCCCCACAGAGGCAGGTGGCCCATCCTCAACTCCAGCCCCCCTCCCCAGCATCAGGAGAGAATCACAGCTCGAATTTCTCAGAGGCTGTCTCCGGCCAGGAGAGGCTAAGATCCTCTGTTCAGTCTCACAGCAAGTGAAAGGCAGAACCTGGGTGCTGGCCAGACTGGCCTGGCTGCCCTGCCCCCTCTGGCTGCTTCTGGGTTCTTCCTTGTTCCCAGGAAGGATGGGGGAGGTGGCACAAGGGGAGGAGACTAGCTGCCCCCGCAGGGCTCCCAGGCCTGGGATTCAAGGACCTTGACATCCAGTGTGCATTCTGGAAGCCATCTGCCTGCCTGGGCACAGGTCAGCCAAGGACCTTGAGATTCAAAAACAAAGAGAGTGCTGTGAAAGCTGACTCCTGAGCGGGAAGGAGTGGCAGCCAGCACCAGGCACCTCTGCTTCTACCTCACACAGACAGGAGACCCCAGTGGCCTTTGCCAAGCCCCCACCCAACAGCTTACCCACTCTTCTCAAGCCCCACCCTGCCTCCAGGCTCTGGGAGGGGCCTTGGCCTAACAGGAGCTTGGGCAAGCATTTAGAGCACCATGGCCACGGTATCCCCTCCCCCGCTACTGCTGATGCATTCCTGGGGCCAGAATGGACACATAGAGGATTCCAGAGTGAGCAGGGCCTTTACAGGAAGAGAGACCAGACCCATGTGCCAGGCTTTGGTCAGAGAGCTGAGCTGTCCCCAGAATGGAGAGGAAAGAGGAAAGGAGGGAAGGCAGAAGCCTCTGGGGGCCCCAAACCTTCCTACTGCCACCTGCATTCAGGTCTGTGGGACTGCATGATTTTGTAATCTTAAATTCCTAGCCTCAACTGTGATTAATGTAAATTAACAGGTGAAAGTTTAGTAGTTCTGGGTAAATAGATAAGATTGTTTCATTCCTTATCTGCCCTGGAAGGAAAGTTTTGAAAATCTTGGGACATTCTGTAAGCATCTGTTAACCATCAACACGTGACTGCCTAGTACAAGTAACTGCTGACCACCAGCATAGACTAGCAGACCATTAACCTTTGCCCCCTGCCTACGTGCTTTGAGTATAGACCCCCCCACCCTGCCTATCCCCTTACAAAAACTGCCTAAGCCCCTGAGCTGATGCCTCTCTGAGCTACTTGGCTCCGGGAGTGCTGTCTGGCCAGACTAATAAAGGTCTGATTTCCAACTAGTCTGGTGTGTTCCTTCCTGGGTGATTCTCGCTGCTCCTCAAGCTCCTGGAGCAATCGCTGGGCTATAGGCCCAGCATCTTGGAGGCTCTTTCGGCTGTTCAAACTCCTCGGAGTGGAAGTAATGCCCTAGGTCTTAGAAGGTCCACACTGCCTGTCATGCCCCTGAGGCAATATTTGGGGAAAGGAAAAGTCCACCCCCCAACACACTTACTGGGATCGAACTCTGGGACTTGCACTTTCGAGGAAGGCGGCGGAACCACCGAGCCAAATCCCTGGCCTAGGAAAAGGTTTATTCAAAGATAGCTCTGAAGGAGACGTGGAGGCCACTCCCCAGACCTCTGACTGCACTAGCTGAGTACACAGGGACTTCTATTGTGAGGGGAGAGGGGAGGACCTGAGTGGACAAGAGCGTGGCCATCCTGTTTATCCCTGGTGGGAAGGAGGTTTTTGACCTCAAGGCCTGTGCCGTGGGTTCCTTTGTGAGGGTTGCACTAGTTTGCCAGCTTCCTGACAGAGACGGAACTTTTCTGTCCATTCTTCTGGCTGAGGGGAGAGGTAGGTGGGGGAGCAGGGGCTTGGGTTTGAGGGGTGAGGAGTTGGCTGGGTTCTGCTCCCAGCTTGGGGAAATCCAGAAGCAATCTATCCTTAAAGAAAAAACTCTTAATTTTTGAGGATCCATCTCATCAGACTTTTGCCATGGATGGGGAAATTCCTGTGAGCAGTCAGAGATATGGTGCCCATTGTGTGAGGGGACAGCCAGACCTGCAGGCCACCCTGGACATCAGCAGCAGCTTGAGATTGTACTGTAATTAGTCCCACCTGACCCAGTGAGCCCAGACAGGTGTCAGGCAATAGGTAGGGTCTGAGGAGGTCCCACAGCAGGCCTGGGGACCCTTGACTCACCCGACCCATGAGACAGGATGCAGGTTCAATGGTCTGTATCGCAGAAAAAATTTTCAGGATGCATCAGTGAGAGGCATAGAGGATTTATTAACAGACTTTTTAAAGCACACACTGAAAGAAACGGAGCATGGGGCCCCTTGAAAGAGGCGTATTAGTTGGCAGAGCTGTTTCTTCAGCTTGTTTCTTTAGGTGGGGTAGAAACCCATGGAACTGTGAGTCTACAGGAAGTTGTGTCTTGGTTCTGGGTATGGGAAAAGAAAAAGGGTGATCTACCCCCAAGGATAATGCCCATTTTGGAGGGGAAAGCTTGAGCCCACTTTTTAAAAAATGCATGACCTAAGCAGTCTTTGAATTCTCTATCTGTTCCTTTATTTTAAGATAAGGTTTCTGCCCTTTACTTTTTCATCTAAGCTAATTTGTGAACCTACAGTTTCTGTTATGCCCAAGTCGCGAAGTCCCCAAAGACCACCAAGGAGTCAGGCCCGATGCAATTACAAGAGGAGTTTATTGCAAGCTCGAGCCTGGACCCTCGGGTGTCACCGTCACAGTGGCCTTAGACTGAGAGCCCAGACCCATCTTTGAAGCAGGGTTATATAGGGTTAGGGAGACTATTCCTCTTTATAGGTCCTATTTTTAGCTCTCGTTTATTACTGGATATCTGAGGGGTACTGGGAGGGCACTTACTGGAAAAATTACTAATACCTACATTCAGAGAATCAATTTCTCTTTTTAAGGAACATCTGATTTTGTAAGCAAGGATATCAGCAGGTGGCTACCTATGTCAGCTATGACTAATACCTGTATTGGCTAAATCAAATTATCTTAAGCAGGGAGAATTTATCTTTGGATTATAAAAAGAGGAACAGAAACAGAGTGGATATGTCCTAAGACAGCTTGCCCTAAAGAGAGGAACAGAAACACAGGGAGACTGTCAAACAAAATGGAATTTTACAGAATGGAATTTTTGCAGCTCTGTTCTGGGCAAGGGGCACAGAGGGAGCCCACCTTGACCTGAAAACTTGAGCCTTATATTTCCTTAAGGAATTTTGGGTGTGATGGTTCTGGAGGAAAAAAAGCATAAATTAACCT